CAAAAAAAAAAAAAAAAACAAAAAAAAACTGTTCTGTATCGTTACATGTTAAAAACTATCTCGTTTTCTCTTATGACTTCCTTGTATCTTGTGACAACAATAATTATAGGTTAATGTAGTCATTATGGTATTGATGGATTTTTAGGTTATTTCCAGTCTTCCAGCCCAAAAAAGCTACATTGAAGATCCCAAATTGCTTTTGAATAATTAAATCATCATTTTCTCTTCCTTTGCTAGCTTTTTAGGACAGATTTTTTTTTCTTTTCAGCCATGAACCAGAGAATCAGTCAGAGTGCTCCAGTGAAACAGCCACCACCCCTGGCTCCCCAGAGCCCACAGGGAGGTGTCATGGGTGGCAGCAGCTCCAACCAACAGCAACAGATGCGACTGCAGCAACTACAGATGGAGAAGGAGAGGCTGCGGCTGAAACAGCAAGAACTGCTTCGGCAGGTGAGGCCACAGGTTAGAAATCAGCCTTCCACTTTTTGGGGTTTGTTTTCTTACTTAAAGTTGGCCAGATTTCATTTTAACATTTATTACAGAGGAGTATTATCTTTATAAAACTGAGTGACATAGAAGCATGCTATCCAGCTCTGTCCTCGTCTTAGCTTCTTGACTGTGATTGGCCTTTGATCAAGTTACAAGGATTGTAACTTGGAAAGTGTATCATGAAGAGCTGTTTTGGCCATGGTCATTGCAGTGGAGCAAAAATTGAAGGAAGCAAGGATGCTGTCTTTAATGTACATGGAATTGTGGATTGATGTTTTTCTGAGGATTTTAGTAAGGGGGAAATTCTAGAACATCACTTGGGAGAAAATATCTTTTATAATTATTTATGTGGTGGGATACACCAGTATGACATTTCTCGAATGACAAGTATACTTCACTATTACTGAATCTAAGAATTTTCGTTTAAAACATAATAAAAGTTACCTTTGGCCAGGTGTGATGGCTCATGCCTATAATCCCAGCACTTTGAGAGTCCAGAGTGGGCAGATCACTTGAGGCCAGGAGTTCAAGACCAGCCTGGCCAACATAGCAAAACCCCGTCTCTACTAAAAATATAAAAATTAGCCGAGCATGGTGGTGCACACCTGTAATCCCAGCTATTCAGGAGGCTGAGGCACAAGAATCGCTTGAGCCTCAGAGGCAGAGGTTCATTGAGCCAAGATTGTGCCACTGCTCTTGAGCCTGGGTGACAGAGTGAGACTCTTTCTCCAAAAAAAAATTATCTTCAAGTTTAGTAGATGCCACTGTGCTTTAAAATTACCTGCTTATGGATTTTTTTAATGTTGGGAAAAGTAGGATGTAACAGTAGAGAGCTTGAAGCCCTTTAATCACCATTTCCGTCAGCTTTCTTCCAGAAGGTACTGTTGGTCTTTATGTTCGATAATACATAATTCATCTCAGCATTAATTTTTACTTTATCTTATTTCAGAGTGGTTAAATCTTAGTGTAGTTATTTTTAAATTTCTATATAAAAATTTTTGAATAGATTATAATAGAAACATGGTATAATAGCGATAAAGTGTATAAAAGGTGAAAGGTACACTCAAAATCTTTTTTCTGTTATTCTAGTTCTTTCCTCTGGGGCCCTAAATATGAGTTTTTTAGGTTTTTTGCTTTTTGTTCATTTTTCCAGAGATATTCTGTTTGCATATATAAAATATATGTATCTATGCTATGTTTTCCCCACCTAAATCACAGCATGCTAAGTGTAGACATTTACAATTAAATCATCATACTCGGCCAGGCATGGTGGCCCGTGCCTGTAATCCCAACACTTAGGGAGGCCAAGGCAGGAGGCTTGCTTGAACCCAGGAGCTGAAACCAGCCTGGGCAACATGGCAAGACCCTGTCTCTTAAAAAATATGTATATGCGTTCTGTATTTCTGTTATCAGAAAGTGGGCATTTAAAGGTCTGTTTTTTTAAAGGGCTATATTTTAAAAGTATCTCTTGAATGTCAGTGAAAATATATGAACTCGGTAATACCTGAACTCTGATTTGGGGTTTGAGGAGCTGGTCCTTCAAGAGTTAAATTAAGCCAAGGCATCTGAGACAGGCTCACCTTTAAATTGTGCTCTGTCAGTAATCTGTCCGTATAATTCTAATGTGATTGACATCAAAGGTAAGCCCTGACAGAGGGAGTAAGAAAGTATGTGCCAGTATATGATGTCAGGAACTTGTTGAGGCTCAGAAAATGATACTCCAAAAGATGGTTCTTTGACAAACTAAGGAAGCAGCCTCAAGGTCTCTCCCATAGTACAGGATGAGTCTGTTCTTTGAAGTTCCTTTATCTACCTAGAAACCAGACCCACCAAAAAGGAATACAATTGCTTTCAATCCCCTCCCTAAATTTCATTAACCAGAGAAGACTGAAACTTGTCTGACAGAGGAAGAGACTAAAAATTAAATATCACACCTAGAGAGCTCAGAGGAACTTTGTCCAGACTGTTGTCTGTTTTCAGATCCCATTCAGTTTCCAAAGAGAATGCTTTACTAACCATTATCTGAGCAGTATGCCCGTTCATTCTTGCTAAAAATCGTTTACTGCCCTTCAAAATGGCCTCATTTTCCTCATGTCCCCTTCCCCTGTGAAGAAGGGTATATAGTATATGAAACTCACTCGGTTATTGGGTAATCATTCTCTTGCAGTTTTCCCCATGTTTATGCACCTTAAATAAATTTGTATGCCCTTTTCTCCTATTAATTTGTCTATTATCAGTTCATTTTCAGCGAACCTTTAGAGGGCAGTGGGGAAGCTTTCCTTTTGGCAAGTGATCTTGAAAGAAAGGTTTCTTTATCTGGCATAAAGAAGGATGGAGAAAGGAAGCATTGTTGTACCTCTGACTTTGTAACAAATTACCATAAAGGAAGAATATTTTTCATCTACTATTGTTAGAATAAGATAGAACCATCAAAAATATAATTATGTGATTAATTGAAAAAATAAAGCAAATTTAAAAGTATGTTTTATGGAACCTCTTTTCATTGTTTTTCATTTTGTTGTTAGCAAGTAGTAGTTATACTAAGCAAATACAGGTCTCAATTTCACTGTAAATAAAGACTGTCAAAAATCAAGAAATTTAAAAAAAAGGTTTTTTCATTACTAATGTCAAAATCGTACTGTTTTTAAGAATTTGTAAAGTCTAGAAATGGGGCCATTCGCCATTTTGTTTTATGCCATAGATCATCCTCGGTTTTTTTTTGGTGGGCAAAAATGCTGCTATTTATAAAACTCTTCTTCTGAAGAATTTTCCTAAATCTTATTCTCAATCTTACTCTGGGTGATGGGTCCTGGACAGAATAGCTTACTTCCTTTAAAGGTAACTTTTTGTTTCATCTTTACTACCTTACTGTGTTGTCTTTTCTTATGTGGAAGTTGACAGACATGCTCTATTCTCATACTAATAGTCTATTTTTTTTTAAGTAATCACAATAAATTCAGTATATCTTAAGTCTTTTGGCTTCCTGTGAACTTCTTCCATTGACAGTTTTCTCTTACCACTGAAACATCAACTATATTGTATCTGCTTTATCTAATACTCAGAAGCAAAGAACCTATGTGACCAGTATCAAATTTTATTTTTTAGATCTGATACCTAAAGTCTTGCTGTTCTATCCTTAATGCTGTTAAAAACTTCTGAGGTTCCAGTTTTATTATATGGTGACTCCATTGGCTCCTGTCTTCCTCAGTCTGCTTCTTCTTGGGTAGCTTGGGAATTCTGTGCTATGGTGATATGTCTGGTTACAATTTGTAAGTCAGCCTACACAGCCAGACCATGTGGCTTAAAGTAATTTTTATCCATCTTATTTTTTACTCTTAGGCAATGCGGAATATCAATCCCAGCACAGCAAATTCTCCAAAATGTCAGGTAGGCTCTTATCTGATGTTTTAGCACTGGAAAAAAAAAAAAAAAAAAGAAGGTATTAGGAAAGAGAAACTTATATTCCAGGGTCCTGTCCTTATTGGACATTAGCCCAGAGTATAGCTTTGAGCCATCTTTCTACCAACATACTCAGGTTAACATTGACCTTCCAAGAAAGTCTACACAATCTGCCCCCTCCCTGCCCTTCCTAGCGAGTTTCTGTTTGATTCCATGGAGGTCTTTTTTATTCTGTATTTGTAATGTATTGTGTCTCAGTTGTACATCCTATCAGCTTCTAGGTATGCCTAATTTTTATTATAATAGCTTAAAATAATAGGTGTAATGATAAAGAAATTAATAAATTGAACAGTAACAAAAGCAGTAAACATTACTTATTTGGGTAGGCTAGTTTAGGAAATCTTGTTAGAGTCATGATACTGTGAGGAAGAGAAAAATTCTTTTTAGTGGACATTCCAAAGGGAAAATATCAAAATTATCAGAAGAGGATCTACCTGGATAGTGTTTCAAGCTTTCTTGTTGGCTTTTATCAGGATTCTCTCTTATGAACTCCAGGGAGCCCTGGTTGTTTAGGCATCTTATTTAGAAGGAAAGATTGTGGCCATTTTTTCTTCTAACACAGGTACTTGTCTGACTCATGGGAAGAATCTCATTTTTGAAACCAAAAAGATTTTATGTGTTTGGGGCCCACAAGATCAGCAGAAATTTGGAGCCAGAGGATCATTGTACTTCTCTTGGGGCAGAAGCAACCATAAAATGCCTCACATTCTATGTAGCTCATTCTGTACTAGGTTAAATAAGTGTATTGTTTCAGAATCTGCTGTAGAAGTGGGAGTTGGCAAAATTCTACTCATTTTGGATACTGGCAAATTGTCCATTGGAGCACCATATTAAAGTCAGATACAGTCTTGGATAGAGACCAGTTAATTTTATGACAGGGAGAATCTCTATTCTTCTTTATCTCATAAATGCCTGCATTTAATCAAAAGTCCAAGCAAGGGATAACTCATAATAATCCATCTTCCCAAGTTGAGCATAGACGTTCTTATGATGAGGGAGCACTAATACTACATTTGACAGTGAACTGCAGCATAGGATTGGATCTTTGTAACATGAAACCATTTTTTCTTTGCCATTTCTCTGAAGTGTTTCTGAAAGAAGACTTTTATTCATGATAAATGAAATAGAAACTAATATAGGAGCAGAAATTAACTCAGAGGAGATTTGGATTCAGGTAATTAGTCCTCGATGCAAAAAATGTTGAAATTGTTTCCTTGTTTCTTAAGGTCTTATACCCTGAATCTGGTAAATTATTCTTGATCTTTATTTTATTTATTTATTTTTTTTGAGACAGAGTTTCGCTCTTGTTACCCAGGCTGGAGTGCAATGGCGTGATCTCGGCTCACCGCAACCTCCGCCTCCTGGGTTCAGGCAATTCTCCTGCCTCAGCCTCCTGAATAGCTGGGATTACAGGCACGCGCCACCATGCCCAGCTAATTTTTTGTAGTTTTTTAGTAGAGACGGGGTTTCACCATGTTGACCAGGATGGTCTTGATCTCTTGACCTCGTGATCCACCCGCCTCGGCCTCCCAAAGTGCTGGGATTATAGGCTTGAGCCACCGCGCCCGGCCCTTGATCTTTATTTCATACTTGAATAGAAAAGTAAATTGTTACTGTTATTAAAATTATCAAGAATTCTTAGACTTTTTTTTAAAATAGTAAAGCTTTAGAAAAGGTGAGGCTTATTAGTAGTAAAACTTCTAAGATATGGAGATTAGAGGTAATTACTTGATTTGCCCAGATCAAAGCAGAAAAGTTGAAAGAGATTTTTTAAAATCTCTTTTGCATATGCTGGATATTAAAATATTGGTTTGTTATATATGCTTTAGTTGTCAATGTATAATATTTACCTGGCATAATTGTGGAAAATTATCAGTAAATGTACCAAATTCCAGTTGAGGTTTATATTTGAAACAGCTCAGATCAAGAGATCTGGTGGTATTTGTATCAAGAAAGCATACATATGTTTTTCTCATCCTATTATTTTCTAAAGAACATTAAGGTAGATGTCCGGAAATAGATCGCAAAGAAGAGTCACATCTTTTTTTTTTTTTTTTTTTTTTTTTGAGTCGGAGTCACCTAGGCTAGAGTGCAGTGGCTCATTCTCAGCTCGCTGCAACTTGTGCTCCTGAGTTCAAGCGATTCTCCTGCCTCAGCCTGCAGAGTAGCTGGGATTGGGATTACACGAACCCGCCACCACGCCCAGCTAATATTTTGTATTTTTAGTAGAGACGGGGTTTCACCGTGTTAACCAGGTTGGTGTTGACCTCCTGACCTCGTGATCTGCCTCCTTTGGTCTCCCAAAGTGCTGGGATTACAGGCGTGAGCCAGCGTGCCCAGCCAGAAGAGTCATATCTTAAGTGAAGATGGCTTTAAATAGTGTTTCTCAGGATAATCAAGAAAGCTAAAAAGGACTTTTCAGCCCCAAAGAAAAGAGTATATAAAGACATCACTCAGTATCTGAACATTAGACACCATTGTTCAAAGTTACTATTTTTTTTTAAGTTTTAGTTTTCTAATAGATATTAATGCAGCTGAGTTAACAAGCAATAGTGAGATCAGTGTCATTTTGTAATCATATACTTCATATGCTGTGCGATGTGGAAAGCTATCCAAACTTCAGAGTGCTTATTATGAATTAATACAAAAGCTGTCTTTAAGTACTTCCAGTAGGATTAACAAATCATGTGCTGTTGTGTTTGTGTACACTAATGTCAGTATGGGTGAAGTTAATGAACAGCTAAGATCCATAGCCCAAGTGATGTCAAAATGTAAATTTTGAAAAATAAAACTTTAAAGGCATTCATATATCTTCTTAATTAAATATGGCAATTATCACCTCAATTTATTACATTATGTTGGCAGAATTTTGGAAAAATTCATACTTACAGAGCTTAACATTTTGATTTCCCTTTGATGTATTCATGATTTTTATGTTTCAAAAGCAGTTTCCATTCTCAAGAAACTTTTTGAAACTGTAAACATCTTTGCCTTGTAAGATTGAGCAGTTAATGATATATTGTAGTCATATCTCTTTGTTACACATCAGTGCTCCCTTGTAAATTGGAGAGACCTTTTGAGCCAGTGGGTTTAGGAATGCACTCTAGCCCCTGTCTAAAGGTCTTTTGAGAGAAGCACTTAGAGGAAAGATAGTCCCCCCTGAGTGTGAACACATCTACCTTTTCTTATGCTTAAGAATATGGTTCTTGGGCTGGGCACAGTGGCTCACATCTGTAATCCCAGCACTTTGGGAGGCTGAGGCAGGTGGATCACCTAAGGTCAGGAGTTCAAGACCAGCCTGGTCAACATGGTGAAACCCCTTCTCGACTAAAAATACAAAAATTAGCTGGGTGCCTATAATCTTAGCTACTTAGGAGGCTGAAGCAGGAGGATCACCTGAACTTGGGAGGCAGAGGTTGCAGTGAGCTGAGATTGTGGCATTGCAGTCCAGCCTGGGTGACAAAAATGAAACTTTGTCTCCAAAAAAGAAATAAAAAAAAAAAAAAAGCTGGGCGCAGTGGCACACACCTGTAATCCCAGCACTTTGGAAGGCCAAGGCAGGTGGATCACGAGGTCAGGAGTTCAAGACCAGCCTGGCCAACAGGGTGTGAAACCCCATCTCTACTAAAAATACAAAAATTAGGCATGGTGGCACATGCCTGTAATCCCAGTGACTCGGGAGACTATGGCAGGAGAATAGGCTTGAACCTGGGAGGTAGAGGTTGCAGTGAGCCGAGATTGTGTCATTGCACTCCAGCCTGGGTGACAAGAGCAAGACTCCATGTCAAAAAAAGAAAAAGAATATGGTTCTTAATGTCTGTGGTTTGCTAGTATCTATGAGATCAAGTTTAACTCTGCAGCTGGCTCGTGGTCTGTCATCAGTAGCTTTCTCACTCACTGGTTCCAGTTAAGCCAATTACTCTTCCATTAGCTGAGTGCACTCTGCTGCCTTGTTGCTCTTACTCTGCTCACAAGCTTTTCCCCATAGTGAAAACCTTGCTGATCCCCTTTCTTACCAGTAAAGATTCTTCATTTCTCTTTTAAGACTTAGGGCAGGATTTATTCCTAAGTGCCCTTATAAGAATTCTTGAGGCAGGGCACAGTGGCTCACACCTGTAATCCAGACACTTAGGGGCTGAGGCAGGCCAATCACCTGAGGTCAGGAGTTAGAGACCAGCCTCCCCAATATGGTGAAAACCTGTCTCTACTAAAAATAGAAAATTTAGCTGGGCATGGTGGCCTGTACCCATAGTCTCGGCTACTCAGGAGGCTGAGGTGGGAGGATGGCCCAGGTCTGTTTTGCAGAGGTTCAGTGAGCTGAGATCATGCTATTCCGGGTGACACAGTGAGACCCCTCCCCCCAAAAAAAAAAAAAAAAAAAAAAAATTAAAGAATTCTTGAAATTTCCCAGAAATAGAAATAAGACTGCTTTATAAGGGTGTCTTAACTCAGTAGCCCATGTAATTCCAATTTAGGTGGTCAAAAATATGATGTGGGATTACTTTTGTTTCTGGGCAAGTAATTGCTTCAATCTGTATAGAAATTACAGCATAAATATTTTGCAGCTATTGAATAATGTATAGTTCCCATTCCTTATGGGTAGTAATGAATAGACACTCGGGTCAGTGACTGGCTTAATGAATGATAAAGCCCACAGTATTGCGGTTGAGGATATTGTACTGCATCATTACCTCTCAATAGTGAAGAGGTTCATTGGTTCACAGTTTTAGTTAACAAGAACAAAATAATACCACTGTTCGGAGCCATGTGAAACAATTGCCAACAATAATTTTTTCCCTGAATTTAGTAAAAATAAAGTATTTGGCCTTTTTCCCTTCAAACTGTCTTTCATGTTAGCACACTTTAGAAAGCTGTTTCAAAACCCTGTTAACACTTTTTCTAACATCTTTCTCTTTGAAGTTCTAATA